TTGTCGTCTGCTCGTCCGCCTCCTTTGTCGTCTGCTGCGTACTAGCGCGCGCGCGCTTCGGGGCCATGGCGCAGCGGCCAATGGGAGGAGCCCCGTCGAGACGCGCCAGCCAATGGAACTGAAAGCGATCGCGGAAACTTGGAGCCGCTTTCGCGCTTCAAACTGATGACGTCAGATCACTCTATGAGACAGTTAATGCTTTCGCATTAAAACAAATCGAGACCCTCAAGACATGCTGGACAAGCATGGATAAACGGGCGATTCCAAAAGAAGTCTACAACTGCTAAGATCCGTAGTCTCCCGTCTAAAAAAAAAAAAAAAAAAAAAAAACCTCAATAAAACGTTTTAATTTTCTTTTTCTTGTCAAGACACGCTACAGTGCAGCCCCCTTTTCCACCAGTAAACATTTTTATTTAATCATCTTCCTAACTATTTACGCATTTTCCATTCATTGCGGTCTTGAAATAATCCAGATAATGTTATAAATGACCATTTCTCACACATAGTGTCTAGATTAACTCTTCCAAATACTGCAAAACGTTCAGTCTAGTTCAATTATAAGAGGAAGGGTTCAAGTGCTACTTGAACACTGGAGCCACCTCGATCCAACTCAGTGCAACACGTCGCGGTGGAAAGCAAGGAGCAGTCGCGCAGTCGGTCGCAATGATACGCAAATGTCGTGCGTGAGCCAGCCTTTAGTTTTACAGGAAAAAAACGAAGCTCAAAAACTCATTGGTTTTTTTGTCGCACTAACAAGTTGCGATCTGTCGGTACTTGTTTTCGGTGTAGGGGGGCACTGCTTCCTGACTTTTTTGATCGCAATGAGATTGGTGCTCGGCTAGCTGGGTTAGAAATGGTCGTCGAACACCTTTCGTATTTTCGACCCTCTCATTTGTAACCAGGGAATAGGCGGAGGACAGCGAAGGGATTGCACCATAGTTTCCAATATGGAAGGAAAGCCTGCGACATCCTCGCCAGAACCGGCCACCAAAACATGGAAGAGACAGAACATGACAGGAAGAGGGTGTTAAGGATGGTGGCGCCTTCGCGTATTCATCATGATTCATCATTTATTGACCCCTGAAGGCTCTTAGGAACATTACACAAGGCGGGGTACTAGCTTCGCGACATGGATATTTAAAGAAAAGAAACAGGAAAAATAAACACCCAAACACTTTTAGGAAAACAAAAAGCCAGCAACTTAGACAGAAAAAAATGTGAACTAATACACTTCAGACTGCTCACGTGTAGGAATGCGAAAGCATTCCTACATTTAGCACATTTCTACAAGCAGCGCGCCATGCCTTCCTTTTTCACACGGCGCTCCGGCGGTGAAATTACGCTCCCCCACTGCGCAGGCGCGGCACCCCCGCCAGCTTCACGGCTTCTGTGACGGTGCATCTGCGTTGCTGCGCTTTTCCTTGGGTTTTATTTCTGAGGCGCGTCCGCTTTGACCTGGAGCGCCCCGCCGGTTTCCGCGACGAAGCATCTGCGTTGCTGTGCTTTTGGCCAATGGGAATTTAGGTGGTCTTTCACTCAGCCAAAGGGAACTTAGGTGCCGGCTTTCGCTCCTCCAAACAACGTCGGCTTCGCTCTATGGGACAGTTCATGCTTCAGCATTAATAAATCATTTGTATAAACACGAATCGAATTTGCTAGCAATGCAATTGCAACTGGGTGGTTCAGTGGGATCTTAATAAGTTATTATCTGTCCGGGTCACATTACTGTTAGGCTGGTTATTCCAGCCTGATATTGATAATGGCAAAGTAGAGTTAAAGAACGAGCCCAATGAACTGAAAATCGGACAGCCTACACTGGACGTGATCAATGCGAGAAAATATGAGAGTGAGTGGAAATAACAATAAAGTTCTATTGTCAAGGTTAGGATAAGAAATCTTGTGAAAGGCGTGATAATGTTCTTGTAGACGAGAACATATGAAAATCAGACTTCATTCGTAACAAAGGAATGCTTGTGCATGTCTCGTGAGTAATCCGAAAATATGAATCTGATTGGCGGGATTTTGAAGCGCCTCTATGTTGGTTATCAATGAATGTTGCCAAGGCGACCAGATGAATGACGCGTATTCAAGCTGTGATCTTACGAGCGTAGTGTGGCTACTTGTTTTTCTGATGATGGTGAAAGCTTTAGATTCCGTCGAAGACGTCCAAGAGTGCGGTTAACGTTAGACAGAATGTGTGCGATATGCGCGTTCCATGAGAGGTCGTCAGATAAGTGAGCGCTAAGGTACTTTTAAGGTGGACACTTGGTGGCACATCGTGTAAGTAAAGAAAGTACTGTGAGCATCCGTGAATGAATGAGCCGGTTTTCATCCCGACGTACCGGAAAAGATGTGTCTGATGCACATCGCTGATCGACACGCATCGTTCACATCAAGATTAACGTCGCTTGTGCGTTGAACACGTGTTGTTGACAGTTGGCGCCGCCGTGTAGCTCCGGCCGATCGCGATTGAGTCAACTGTCGTTGGCTTCATGACAGCTGAACATTGAGGGCGCTAGAGTAACTAGGATATTAGCCAATACGAGCACGGGGAGTAAGGGACAGCGGAACGTACCGCAGGAAAAAAGTTCAGGGCGCTGTCACCTTCCTCATCTCGATGATTTTACCGACTGTCATGGGGCCCATACAGCTTTTGGCGTTTGCCAAGTTAATGCGCGCGATTTATGCACCTTGAGCTCACTGCTGGCTCGGCTGCCGTTAAAGACGTCTGGTGAGGATAACGCAGCTCGCCTGGGCGACATCGTGGCTCCAATTAGCTTAGCTCACCACAATACGACATATGTTTATTTTTATGTCGTCTGTAGCATGTTTTTTCCAAATCTATCACGAATAGATGTGAAATACAAGAGCCTTAAAATGAATATTGAAGGTGAGATCCGGCTCGATCACACAGGTGAGCGAACATTTTCTGAAATTATTTAACTCGGAGTCGAGCCAATGTATTTTGACTCACCGACTGCACAAGTTATCAGGACTACGTAATAATACGCGTAAGAGAACAGACGTCTAGTATCGAGTAAAACAAATTCTTGAAAGAATATCTAGTGCAAAGCTAGAGTAATAATAATAGTTCTATCGCTGCCCAGGGGGGCCGAGGTGCGCTAGAAAGGTCGAACACCTGTAGCAGTAGGCCTAACACACCAAAGTGTAATTAACAACCACCCATGTTCGTACCAACAGGCCTCTACTTGGCGTCAAGTATTATGTGCCTCTAGAGTGCCTCATATTTGCTTGCTGCCTACGCCTTGACAAAGTTGCGGCATCTTATGGGAGGGCCAGCTCCGCATTTTCTTGGCCGCGGCCACTATTTTGCCTCCTGCTCCCTGAACGACGCCGATAGCAACCGAATACTTGACGTAACGCCTTACGTTGCATGTTGCGGAAGTTAGCCCGGGTCATTTCGCGAGTGGTAACGCTCAATTACTGCGTAAATAACTCTAAACAGCTGCATAGAGTGGGAGGCAAGATGACTGCTCCGCTAGCAGAAGACAGAGTTGTCCCCCCTCTGTGAGGGCCGCCAGCCAATACCACCTCGAAGACAGTGCCTTCCGTCAGCGCGTCTTGCAGCGTCTCACAACGAAATCGACGTTATACGGAGCGCAAGTTCGTCTACTTGTTGCACAAGGGTTGCGATGACGTCAGAACGCCGATCCCTTATTGGCTGATTGAATAAAATAGTGGGTAGAGCTCGGTTTTGTTCTGACGTCAACGCAACTCCTGTGCAAGAAGCAGACGACTACGCGTAGCAGGTGGTTACGCGAGGACGGACGCGTGTGGCGCCGCTTGGAGGCAACTCTCAACGAGCTTTGGCGTGGTTGCCGCTTGGGGCGGGGATCCACTAAGGACGACGTCATCTACAGGACTTGTCTTCTAGGACAAGGCTAGCGCAGCTGCTCCAGTGCCTCAACCCTGTCACAGCTAGTTCCGCCAGCGCATGCGAATGAAACGAAGCCACGTGCTCTCGCAGCAGCGTGGACATTGGCGTCGGATTAGGGGGACAGACATTAGTCAACAATACGGGTGAAGGGGAGAAAAATCTCCTTTCCCTCTCCGAATAGGTCCGACACCTCTGGTCTGTAGCACCCTGGAATCCATGCTGTGGCCTTGAGAGTGAGGCCCAAAATAGTTTACGCCGGGTATAGTACACCATAGGTAGTCATTCTCTATGCCAGGCAACATTGTAACGTCCGTTCTTTAACTTAACTTTCCCACTGCACAAAAAAAAAAAAAAAACGATTTCAAGCATATTTTAGTTAATTACTGCAAGGATGCAAGCCAGCTGGTGAAAAACTCTTGTTGTTGTTAATTTTTAACCCTAAAGAGATTGGAGACCCGTGTTGTCCTGTCCTCCAGTTTCCTTTTTCTCCAGCGTTAAAAAAGGGCAGTTTTTAACCTCTAACCGATATATAAAAACCGAAATCGGAAATAACGATAACCGACACGAAACCTATTTCGTAAATATAACATAACCGTAATCGAACAGTTATTATTTTAGGCTTGAGTACCTGCATTATAGTACACATTTCTACCTAACTGGTAATAACTATATCTAAGTTCTGAGTTCCAAAGCGCAGTCGCTTTAAGTGCTTTTTGTTCATAACCTGCCTTGCATTGGACTTGAACGTTACACTTTGTCAGTCACGATAAGCTTTAATGTAACCTAAGTTTTTACATTAATTCGTTCCAGTCTGTAGCCTTCACAACGCAACAAATATCTCATTATTCCGGTTATGTTTTTTCCGCGTAGTACTTGTTGCACGTGGTGCTACGCCTATACTCATGTTCGTTTAAGGTATCTTGGCAAAAAGCTTTCACCATTTTTTGTATTAATGACAATGTTGTGCTGCGTGTATTACCACCCCTCAGCTTCGACCCAACTTAATGCTGCCAAGATCCGGAGCCGAAACGTCCTGTCGCTAAGTTCGCAAAGGACCGCTGCAAAGAAGAGGCCCTGGGGGCATTCCAGAAGACCGGCTTACCTTGGCACGTCAAGGCTCTCTCGGGACTCGGACCCTGGGCTTGCGGCCACGTGAGGGATATCCACCGCTTTTATACGCGCATGCCGCGGCCTCTGCCCACCCGCCTACGACGCGACTGTCCCGGGGGATTAGTTGCCAGGACCGCCAGGGATGACGTCACCGCTAGGGAAGGACTTTCCCTAGCCATTCCCCAGCCCGTCCCTCCTCGGCACCCCGCCCGTTCGGACGAGGGAAAAGTGTTGTTGGGGTCTCCGTACCGGCCCAGTTTATGGACCCCCGCGATGTTTTCTGCTATCTTGGTAATGTATGGTTATCAGCAAAGTTTGGCGCTGCTGATTTGGAGCCTCTTAAAAGGGGCGAGACTCACGTTCTTGAGGATGTACTCGATAAAAATTGTGCATTTGATTTTCGATCATCCCTACTCCTCTGATAGTTCCGTGTTTTGGAGAGTTACTTTTTTTTTTTTTTTTTTTCAAATTGAGGAGCATTATTTTGGCGTTAGTTTTTTTTCGGCAGATTCGGTGTTTTTCGGTGCCTATTTTTGATGTCGAACAAAATATCGGTGTTTATTGTGGTTTATGACGGGAATATGTATATGTTAACTTCCAAGTATATTCTAAAGCGCTGTCGGTCAGAAAAAAATTCGGAACGATGGGTTTGACTTCGGCAAGGTCAACCCTAATTGGACTTTTTTTTTCGGTTTTCCTAGGTTTTGATGACACCGACAAGGGTGTTCCCTATCGAAATTTATCAGTATAAAAAAGATAAAAAGACGGAACCGTGGTTATGACTGTAGCAGTCATAACCACGGTTCCGTCTTTTTATCTTTTATACTTATACTGATATAGTGACACGAAATTTGTTCCCCTGTCTCCGGCCGGAAAAAAAATATCCGGTCTAGCTTACTCGAAGAAGAGGAGTCTGTTCCAGAAACGTATGTCTAACAAAGTCTCCTACCGTGGTTCGAATATTACTCAACGCTTATAACTTCCTTGACAAAAGTATTCCTAAGAGCATTCAGCGAAACGTGGATAGCATGTCATAATGATATGAGACATTCAAGGCGAAAATAAACATGTCTCAAATTAAATCATGGCATCTGTAAGCGTCTTGCCTAACTTTCAAGTAACTACCTGAACTAACTATATTTTCTGACTCCCCGGCCTTTACCCCTTCCGGTATGCTATTTAGTATTGCGGAATTCATAATAGTTATTGTGAAATCGGCAGATGAAAATGATGTAAAAACCAACATTCAAATATGCCCGCACTTTTCAGTGCCGTGATGCCAGTGGCAGGTAGGCTTGCCAGTAGAGCAAGCAGTCTAAGAAATAGAGTATGCCAATCATTTGTTCAGCGCTGGAGTGCGGGTGCTGAAGCGGGGCGGCGGAGAAAACCTCACCGGAGAAAAGCTCACCGCAAAACCGGCAGACGCGGAGAAAAGCTCACCGGCCTTTGAGCGGATGCGGGGAAAAGCTCATCGATTTTTTTAACTTAGCGGATTCTTCGTCAAACGTGGCAATTTAACACAATTCGCATTCGTCACTTCATTAAACTTATGTCCTCTTTTTTGTAATATTCTTGAAATTCCTTGGCTATATTTACTAATTCCTCAGAAATTAGTAATCACTCATTCTGTATACTAATGAAGCTGCAAGGGTATAAAATCAGAACATCGTACACCGGTAAAAAAGACAATTTATTGACAGCTGACAGTTCGCCGTCGGTAGCTCCGTGAGATAAAGAGGTTTGCTCTTTGCAAGCTAATATGAATAGCGGTGTGTGAACCGTTTCAGCTCTGAATATTGAGTACTGTTTAATAGCTAAGTACGTGTTCGTTGATGTAATCAGTGTCTGCTGCGCTGTTTTCTTTCTGTTAATTTCACTAACAAAACTTTAGTTGCGGGAACAGCTTTGTCATGTCGTGCTTGTTGTTTTCATTCCATCGTCGTCATTTGAGCGGTTCTTTAATCATGTATCACGTTTATCAACTCTCCCAATTCTCTACCTTAGAAAAGTTCACTTTTCATATAGGTCGCAAGTAACAACGGTGTCACTGTGCCGCTCTGAAGGTCATGATTGGCTCATCCTAGAAGGGCACTATTACACAAAGGCAACGTGTCGAAACACCAGCACGAACGGCTAGAAAACGTGCATGTCCGTGGAAAAAAGAAGCCTCGATATCCTACTAACTGTTTTATCCTGTTTTCAAAAGTTAACAAAAGCTTCAAAAGGAATTTCAGGCATCGCGTTGTTGCGCATGCACTTTCAGATTTTCGGCATTTACGGTTCCGATTTTTAGGTTTTAGGCAGACATGATTAAGTTTTCGAACGTTTTCCTGTTCTTCATGTTTATAAAGTTTTCAGTTAGGCTTTCGTTGCATAGAGCAGTGGTTCTCAAATGGGGGTCCGCGGACCCTTTGGGGTCCGCGAAGGTATTCTAGGGGTCCGCGAAGCCCTACTTCATCAGTCAAGCTCGGCAATAAAAGTTGTCTTTTCTCAGGTCGAGAAGAAATGTTTCAGTTTTCGGGCGAGTTTTCTTATACGTTGGTCAATAAGAGGGGTCTACTTCACACTAGCCCTTAGTAATACCCATTTATTAAATCATTATTACATTTAACCTATACCTTTCCCCTCCCTTCACCACGGACGGGGTCCTCCATAATCTCCGCCAATCCACAAGGGGTCCGCGATGCATCGATGGTTCAGAACCACTGGCATACAGAGTAAGCCACAAAAAACACTCGCCCGCAATTATTATTTTGGGAGCAGTATAGCCAATAAGGTTATCAAATATTACAAAAAAGGACAATTTCTTTTTTACAAACTTGACAAATTTTAATAATAATAAATTTATATATGTTACGCATTATCCAACAGCCTCCATATAAATAGAATAAAAAAAAAATCGATGAGCTTTTCTTCACATCCGCCGGTTGTGCGGTGAGCTTTTCTCCGGTAAGCTTTTTTCCGCATCCGCCGGTTTTGCGGTGAGCTTTTCTCCGGTGAGCTTTTCTCCGCTGAGCTTTTCTCCGGGATTCACTGGAGCGAGCTTCTAAAGCATTCATTTGACACAATGAAACTGCTTCTAATCAGTTGGGAACAAATTCTACAGTCCAAAGACTGAACCATTGCCTCCCAATGACGTCATTTTTTCGTTGTTGCCAGTAGAGACTTTCAGTTTGAAAATCACGGTGAGGACCAAAGCTGTAAATTCGATAACTTCGCGAAAAAACAATATTTGGACCTAAATTTTGGGATACACTTTCAGCGATGTTTGTTTCTGAGTTAAGACAAATTTCAAGCGAATCGGAGACAATAAAAGAACCTGTGGAGTACCCCTTTTACCCTCTCAGGTACATTAAAAAATGGGAAAAGACAGAAGTGATCTCCACTCTTTCTCTATTTTTTTTATTTAAAACTTGCAAACATTGTTAAAGCAAACTTGAAGCAGGTTTCGTTTCCACACTAATTGTTTTGTGCTGGAACATATATGTTCCTACGTAAGGGGGTACTGGGTCCTTGGACCTCCCATTACCTCCTGGAACTGTGGTATTCTATGAAACAGTTTCTTGCCACTGTAAGGCACGGGTGCACTCCCCAAACTGCCCAAACGATAGGTCACCGGACGGTTTTATACTCTGAGTTTAGCACAGTTTGCAATTCGATTTCGAGCGGAAGCCTTACTCATTTGGTGGCCAGGAGCCTCTTGCTTTGTTGATACCTGGATTCGCTCTTGCGTCTGCACGAGAGTTGTCGCGCTTCGCTGCCGATTGCATTTGTTCCCGCTGAGTCCGCGCGCTGCAGCTTGCTCTAGCTCGTGTAAGGTGAGCGTGGAAACCTCGGAGTTCTCTGATCGCCGCTTTCCGTAGACATTCAAACTGTTCCTGACTCCAATATCGAGTATGTCAAAAAACAACCGCAGGTAGTACTTGATCCTTGATCACTGGTCCACTTCGCATGTCGCCTTCTTTTGATTCATCAGGTTGACACCGCCTATGGCTTGGGTATACGCTCGCTCACAACCAAGGGACAAAGTACCGTAAGTTTCTCAATTTTTTTGGCAGAACGACGCCGAAAATGGACAGTTCGCAAAAGCAAAACAAAAGTCGAAAGAATAAGGACGAAGCGGTTCTCCATCCACTTGACACTGGAAACACCTTCAGCAGAGAAAAAAGGCAATGTCGTCTCTTTTCATGTCTTTGTCACCCAAAATGTTTTTTGCATTTTTTTTTGTATTTTCTCGTACCGTACCGTATGCCTTGATATCTCGTTCAAAAAGTTCTTTTTGAACGAACGAAGAGTTGAGGAAATCGTCAAAAAAGATTCCGCATCCGGAAGCACCAAGTCAGTTGATAACAACCGACTGGTGGCAAGTCCCACCGCCGTGTCTTCAATTTTTTTTTTACTGTGTACAGGTGGCATTTAAACAAATATCATGTAGTATTTGCGTCGCTCCGGCATTACATCTTGAAGTCACAACGAATAGGTTTGTTCGTTTTATTAATTGTTGCAGGATAATATGACCTATAAAGTTTATCATCTATGCGTAGATGGACTACCTCTCTGTCGTCGCGAGCGCAACTTGAAAAGCCTCATTGAAGTGGTCGATTAAAGGTCGTGCTTTGCACACCATATCAAACTCAGTGGGTTCGGTCCCTTTTGGGTTGCACTCGTGGGCGAAGTGCAGAGCAGTGCGAAGTACTTCAAATCGGTGCAGAGTCGTAACATTTGCAACATATGCGACGCCTAGCTATAGCTGGCTGGACCAATAGTTCCTGGGAGCTAGTAGCGCGTGGTAACTAATCGCTAAGTCAATGCCAAGAAAGGCTTTCATCTCTTTTTTTTTGATGTCACGAATACTTTTATATTCTACTGGCAGTACCTTGTATTTTTTTACGAGTATTTCAGAAACCAGCTATTTAAAGTGCAGCGCTGCTGAAAATACTTCACTCGGCGTGAGATCATCAGCTTGCTTTGACTTCGGAGGACATAGTACCTCACCGGATAGTTTAAATTGGTGTCTTGGTGAACTGTTTTATTTTGATTTTTTTTTTCAGCCAAAGCCATTTGCACTAATTTCGCTTTATTGAGGAATTGGGGTGGGCGAATTCGCTTGAGACCAAG